GTTGTACATTTGCTGTTATGTTAAACTTATATTAAAGTTTTTCTTCATTACCCATTCAAGCCATCTCCAACCATTATAAATACACCTATGATGTAAATCGTGTTGTTTTGAAACAAGTTCAGAAATGCCAGCTTTTATTTCAAACGTATATCAATTAATGGCTGAAGTTCATTTAATTTTTTAGAAATGGCTTGTTTGTTTGTTGCTATGCACAAAGTTTCACAATGGGCTATTTGTGCTCTGTCCAATGCGGATAACAAAACCTGATTTTAGCGTTATAAGCCCACTGTCTTACCGCTGAGAAACCGGAGACGCTTGAAAAGTAGAAATATTGTTCTTACCAACATTTAGTTTGGTTCTTTTTTGTTTGTAGTTGTTGTTTTAGGGTAAAGCTATATTATACACCATCTGCGTTCTGTTCAGCACGGGAATCGTACCCAGGATTTTAGTGCTATAAGACTGTAAGCTTAATGAGATGTTAGTTAGTTTGATACGACCTAATTTTATAAGGTTTTGGTAGTAGCAATTTATTGGTGCGAATGCCCATATAGGCTTGTTTATAGTGTAGTGTTCTTTGGCTTTTTTTACCTTGTGAACATTTTCTTTAACAACGTATATAACTGTATATTTTATACAACCAACGAACTATTACCTGAGCCTTGTAAGATGGACCTTTCTTTAACAACGTATATAACTGTATATTTTATACAACCAACGAACTATTACCTGAGCCTTGTAAGATGGACCTTTCTTTAACAACGTATATAACTGTATATTTTATACAACCAACGAACTATTACCTGAGCCTTGTAAGATGGACCTTTCTTTAACAACGTATATAACTGTATATTTTATACAACCAACGAACTATTACCTGAGCCTTGTAAGATGGACCTTTCTTTAACAACGTATATAACTGTATATTTTATACAACCAACGAACTATTACCTGAGCCTTGTAAGATGGATCTTTCTCTAGATTTCCTTTTATCGTCTTTGCCATTACATTCTAATAACAACATTTGAACGCCATTTTTTCCTAAGTAAATGGTTTCCTTTGAGATTACTTTCACAACAAAGAGAAAAACCAGTTGATCAGCTCCTTTCTTACGTAAAAGCTTTTAAAATAAGCTTATTATCCTTCAGGTAAATATCGTTCCTTCCGAGCACAAAAATATATGTCTACTGTTTCATTGGAAAATTAGGTTTACTGTCACAATAACATTTCTCTTAGCACAGAAAGAAACACGGACTTTGGAATTTGAAGACCAAAAATAGAGAGGAACTAATAATAATTATTATGCGATAATCTCCAGAGAGATCGGAATTTGTCATTCGATAAACCTGGCTGTGGAAGTTTATAGAAATTAATTTGCTGATATTAACTTTTCAATGTCTCATTCAAACATTTCACTTTTCACTAAGAAGAAATTAAATACGTTGAATGGTGACATGTGCTAATCTTGGTACAAATGATATAATCATGAACCGTAATACACTCCGTTGGAGAACTATAGGTCATAAACCCAGAGCTTGCCTGCTTGTGTGTGTTGTTGTTGTTTCTGTGTGGGACGTGGTCTTCGAATATTCATCCAATTAACTTAAAATATATTAATATACAAACTTCTAATTATTGTTTTGTATTTCCACTGAAGGTATTTTACTGCAAACTTGGTTCCGTTGTATATTAAGCTTAAATTGTTGTTTTGAATTTCGAGCAAAGCTACACGAGAGCTTTCTGCGCTAGCCGTCTCTAAATTATCAGTGAGAGGCTAAAGCCTGTGTAGCCATTTCGCAAAAATGTGTGTGGCCAACTCGTAGAATCATCGATAGTGTATTTTTTAGCTGGTCAGAGAAAAAGAATGCCAAATCTCTCATTGAAATGTCACGCTTTTGTAATTTTGAAAAATTATTTTTTGTACTTTTGCGTTGTGTTTATAATTGACCTTGACTGTCATTAGAATCCTGAGATAAATTTATTTAACGAAAATTTTCTGTTTTATTAATAGTGCGGCCATTTCTGTGATCGACTGGCCACATCTATGGCTAGGAAAAAAAAATTAGTTGCCCACTCATGGGTTAGAGGGAAGGCAGGTAGTCCACACCACCCAACGTCAACTCTTGGACTACTATTCTACTAATGAATAGTGAGACTGACTGTCACTTTATAACACCGTTACGACTGAAAAGGCAAACATATTCGGTGAACGTAATTGTAACCCGCGATCCGCAGATTGCAATACGAGCTTCCTAACCACCAGGCCATGCATGCCAAGTCACAAATTATTGAATCGTATTCTTAAATTCACATAACGTACAGCAAAAGCTACATCTTGCTAACAATGCGTTTTTTGTTTGTTTGTTTTGTTGTTCATTTTCAAAGAAATCTATTGGAAAAACCAGTTTCAATTATTGTTATATTAACATTCCGAAACTTCTTATAAGTTATTTAAGTTATATATTGTATTTCTCTAAGTGGGGAAAAAAACTGTTACGCAATTTTTTTTCATGGATAGCTATATGATCATAAAACTGTGGCTATTTTCGAGCTGTTCCGATTGATCACATGGCTATAATGGCTTAGAATTCAATATAAGTATTTGTTAGTAATTCATATTTCAAAGTTAAAGTATTGGAATCTTGTGTATATTTCACAGTAATATTCCCTTCAAGTCCAGAAACTTAAGCTCCGTCATTCATATTGTGAAAGACATGTAGTTATTGTTGTTGCCAGTAACGTGCCAGAAAGGTGCCGGGACCCGCATCCATATCGAGAGAGCATCCAACGTATAGAGTCGAATCGAATAGTAGAACCCTTTCCGCCTTTCCCCAAGATCTTAGGTACAAGGCCCCGGGCATCATAGAACCTCTTCACGCAACTGGTTGTTGCCGATACGATCTACTGAAATATCACATTCATACGCAATATCATATCGGACAGCTTTAACCTGTTGTTTCTACTCTACAGAAGATTATTCTGATATATATGACACTCTATTTACGTAATATTGATCACTGAACTTTGAAAAAACAAAAGGGAGATAGAGGATTGTTGTAATTGTTGTAGAGAGTCTACGTAGCTCTTACGAACAATTCAAACATATGTAAGCTGAATTGTTGTAATTGTTGTAGTAAGTCTACACAGCTCTTACGAACAATTCAAACATGTGTAAGCTGAATTGTTGTAGTAAGTCTACACAGCTCTTACGAACAATTCAAACATATGTAAGTTGAATTGTTGTAATTGTTGTAGTAAGTCTATACAGCTCTTACGAACAATTCAAACATATGTAAGTTGAATTGTTGTAATTGTTGTAGTAAGTGTACGTAGCTCTTACGTACAATTCAAACATATGTAAGTTGAATTGTTGTAATTGTTGTAGTAAGTCTATACAGCTCTTACGAACAATTCAAACATATGTAAGCTGAATTGTTGTAATTGTTGTAGTAAGTCTACACAGCTACTTACGAACAATTTCAAACATATGTAAAGTTGAATTGTTGTAATTGTTGTAGTGAGTGT